TTTGTTTCTCCGCTTGTTTTTTCCAATTCGGACACGGTACGGCTGTAACCAAAGTATCCGCACGTCAGGTCGTCGTGGCAGGCTTGGAAGATCTCTCTAAAGCCGGTAGGGATTACTAGCAGCCATGGCGAGTTGTTGTCTCCGAAGATGTTATTGTGAAATACACCTTGTCCAATAGCGAAGGCCGGCAGGGCTCTTGAAAAGACACGGGGGATAGTACTTCCTCCTCCTTCGAGGTTCTCGGTTAGTGCGCGCAGGTCAGGATCGTCTCTATGACGTCGTGCCAGTTTCTCGGTGTTCACTGCGCCTAGGAAACAGTCGTCGTCATCGTCGCTGCTTCTGCCGGGAGGGTTCTCGACGGAGGTGCTGGACAGGCAGTCAGCGTCTTTGTGCTTGCGGCCTGACTTGTAGACTACAGTCATGTTGACCTCCTGCAGTTGGAGGCTCCACTGAGCGAGGCGTTCTGAAGGGTCCTTGAGGTTTCCAATCCAGCAGAGGGAGTAGTGGTCCGTGAATACGCGGGACGTGCTCCGGTACAAGTACTGGCTGAACTTTGAGATTGCCCAGCCGACCGCAAGACATTTATTTTCAGTAGGGGAGTCATTTATTTACTCCTAGGACAGTGTCCGCGATGACTTGCCTGGTTCTATCTTGCACTTGAACCAGTACCGCGCCAAGTCCTGCGCTGCTTGCGTCCGTATGAATCTCGGTTTCCGTATCCTGGTAGCAGTGACTGAGAAGAGGAGAAGTTTAGAGTCGTCGCTTCATCTCGCCGAATGCTTGCTCCTGCTCCTCGGACCTTTCGGAATTCTAGGTGTCCTTCATGAGGTGTCTGAGCGGTGCGGAAATCCTTGCGAAATCATGGACGAAACGCCGATAGTACGCACATAGCCCATGTAACCTTCGCACGGCCTTCTTTTCTCGGCGATCTAATTGCCCCGACGGCTTCAGCCTTTTCTGGGTCTGGGCGAGCGCCATCGTTGCCAACCACCTGGCCTAGAAACTTCATTTCGTCATAGGCGAACCTACACTCAGATTGCTTGAGGTTGAGTCCGGTGGTATGTATGGCTTGAAGAACCGCTGAGAGTCGTCGCAAATGCTCGTCGAGGTCACTCGAAAACACTACGAGATCGCCAAGGACGACGAGACAGCTCTGCCATTTCAGTCCTGGCAGTACGGTGCCCATGACACGCAGGAAAGTTGCTGGTACCGTACATAGCCCGAAGGGAGTCACCATAAACTCATACAGTTCATCCGGCGTAACGGAGTCTGTTTATTTTAGGTGTCTTTCTTCGACTTAGACCTGGCATTAGCTGCTCTTGAGGTCTCTCGATGAAAAATATTGAAAGTGTCGCAGCCGGTCTGGTGTATCGTTTATGCGGGGAAGTCGATAGACGGTTCTTCTTCGTCATCGCGTTTAGCTGCCGGTGGTCCACACAGAACCTTGACAGTTCGTTCTTGATTTTAACCAGCGCGACTGGAGAGGCTCACGGACTGCTTCAAAGCTGGATTACGTCGTCGTCCAGCATTTCTGGCATGTGCGTTTGGATGACCTCCCTTTCATTTACGGATACTGTACGGCGATCAATCCACATGGAGCTTGTCGTCTTTGGAAACAATGCGATGCGTTGCAACGGCAGTTTGGTGCACCTTTGACGATGCCGCGAAGCAGCCGCTGTATTCGGCGATGAGATCACTCAGCTGTCATCGTTTCGAGCGTGGATACTTGGGGTCGACGTCGAGCGGTGCTGGTGGCATAATGTATTGCTGAGGTGGCAATGATTCTTCAGCAATCGTGGCGATTTGGACCTAGTTCCGGATTTCCTTCATGTGTCCCATAGCGGCACCTTTTGTGAGGCGGTGCGTTTCTTGACGGAAGTTCGTCACGAGGACAACAGTGCCTCCAATCAGGAGTTCAGTTACCCCCCTTTCGACGCCTATACTTCATCCCAGGAGCAATTGCACGTTTCCGTCTAGAACAATTTCGCCGCAGGTAGCTGCATCGGTCATGACGGGTACAACAGCACTTGATCGCGGCGGTAGGTTCACGTGGTTGGCAGCGACTAGGACGGCGCCTGACGCTGGCTGGTGCTTCTCTCGTGGCGGAACTGGTGTACGCAGCGTGAATCTCCAAGATTGATGACAGAGCCGTATTCACACAGAAAGTCCATGCGGAGAATGCCCAAGTAGCACAGAATTTTCTAAAATCATCGGCCATGCCTCGGCCATTGCTAGGCCAACGATCAATTTGGTCGGCCACCGGCAAATCCTTGGTGGACAACCAAAAACCATGGTCGGCAAAAGCCAGGCCACCGATGCCTCGAATTCAGCTCGGCCATTGGCAAAGGGCAGTGCTCGGCAAACTCCCGGCCATCCAAGGTATTTTTTTACATGTTGGCCACCAAGGAAGGGCCTAGCCCGGCATTCGCCCAGTTGCCAAGGCCTTGTTTTCACCTCGGCCACACGGCAAAAAAACGAGGGCCGGCATTTGCCAGGCCACCGATGTCTTGTTTTCACCTTGGCCATTGGGCAAAAAACAAGGACCGGCATTTGCTAGGCCACCGAGGCCTTGATTTCACCTTGGCCATTAAGCAAAGACCGAGGGCCGGCATTTGCTAGGCCACCGAGGCCTTGTTTTCACCTTGGCCATTGAGCAAAGTACGAGGGCCGGCATCTGCTAGGCCACAAAGGTATATCCAAGGGTCGTTTTCAGCCTGGCCATGGAGTAAATACTGACGCGGCATTAGCCTGGCCACAGATGTATAGACCGTTCCATTAGGGTCATAGCAGAGAGGGTAAAAGAGAAAAAAAATGCACTCCCCCTCTCCCCCGCAAGCTGTCCGCTCCGCCGAGTGGGCTGTAGCTAGCGTCCGGCTGGCGTGCAAATTCTGTTTAAAATCGCGTCATTTTGGAACTTTCAAGCGCAGATGCGCAGATTTTGGTATGCCAGTTATCGTGTAATACTATGCTAGATAAAAAGACTCACAGGGTCCAATTGCACTGTTACCCGCGTGCAAATAAAAAACAAAAATAGGGAAAACTGTGTCAGATTGGCCGGTCTCTTTGGCGAAAAGAAAATCCGGTTGCTGTACCTTTTTTACTATACAAACGTTCGTACTGGTGTAGGCCTTTAGCGACCATGAGTGGAAGTCTGAAATAATAAATAAAAACGTGCTCTCCTGCCGCAATACACGCAGTAGTTGAGGGTAGTACTGCCGGCTGACTCAACTGCTATTTAAGTAACCGAAAAAACATACGCTAGTTTATCATTTAGCAAAATAGAACAACAGAGCTACAGGCTGATTTTGGAGTAGCCACAACTATTGTAAGAACGCGAACCACTTCACAACGGCAGCCATGAGCGAGAGTTCGGTGTTCGGTAGAGCCCGCCGATACAGCCCAAAGATGGAGAACGGCAACCTCCCGGTTTGTCGTCTGCTAGCGGAGTCGGCGGCGTGCCCTCTCTCTCGTTTTACCCCGCCGAACCCGCTGAACTTCCCGGATGTGTGGAGAGGGCGCTGCGGTCGAACAAAATGGTGCCGCCCAGAGAGCGCTAAATGGAATGGTCTTTTCACCTCGGCCATTGGGCAAAAAACAAGGACCGGCATTTGCTAGGCCACCGAGGCCTTGATTTCACCTTGGCCACTAAGCAAAGACCGAGGGCCGGCATTTGCTAGGCGACCGAGGCCTTGTTCTCACCTTGGCCATTGAGCAAAGAACGAGGGCCGGCATCTGCTAGGCCACAAAGGTATATCCAAGGGTCGTTTTCAGCCTGGCCATGGAGCAAATACTGACGCGGCATTAGCCTGGCCACAGATGTATAACCGAGGTCTCGTTTTCACCTCGGCCATTGGGCAAAAAACAAGGGCCGGCATGTGCTAGGCCACCGAGGCCTTGATTTCACCTCGGCCATTAAGCAAAGACCGAGGGCCGGCATTTGCTAGGCCACAAAGGTATATCCGAGGGTTGTTTTCAGCCTGGCCACAGAGCAAATACCGACGCGGCATTAGTCTGGCTTTGTTTTCACCTCGACCATTGAGCAGAAAACAATGTGACATTTGCCTGGCCACAAAGACATAGCCGAAGGTCATTTTCACCTCGGCCATGGGGCAAATAATGCTAGCTGTGGCATTTTCATTGCCACTAAAGGTATAGCAGACAGCAGTTTTCTCCCCAATCTAAAGGCAAAATAACATGCGAGAACAGATGTTTGTGTTTGTAGGTTCATCATGTTGCAGGCAACAATACTCAAGCTCTAGGCATCACTGTTATGCACTCAAGGCACTGGGGTGGATCAGCTAGGAGGCATCCAGGTTGAGGTCTTTGTGATCTGAACATGATATGACGCACCCATTCTTATTGAACTTTCATGTTACAGCACCTGCTGCTTCGCTGTGCAAAAAGAAAAAAGATTGACAAAACCTACCTAGTTGCAATTGCTCATGATAATCAAACTCTAGGCTAAATTGCAGTTGCATTAGCTTTCCAACAACCACCTCCGAAGTCTGGCACAAATGATGTGCAATGTTTCTTGTCACCCCGTACGGGTGTACGAAAAAAATTGGTGTCATTTACAGTGTATGTTATCTACTAGGCAAAGAAACAACAGAGAAACAGTTTACCGATTTCACAAGAATATAGTCTCCGAAGGATATATATATTACCTAGTCCAAAAATTTCAAAGGTGTTGGTGGCCAGGCTGTTGGTAACTGATCATGAATTCAATGAACACGGTAAGAAAGGGTCATCAGTTCGATTCACTGTCAGATTAAAAGTGCATGTCCCCAGGTTAGTCAATTTATACCAGCAAAAGAGGACACCAATGTGTTGAAATTCGAAAGATGTTTGTCCTGTCCGCCTTCTTTGTATAACTCTTTTGTATTTTTTAATCAGGGCTGTTCAAGAAGTATTTAACCTTTGGCAGGAAAAAATATATTTATTTGCTTTGAGGTCTAAAACTCTAATCCCCTTCAAACTACTCTCCTTGGGATAGCACACACTTCAATGTTTGAAAGGCTTAGCTGTTTATTCAGCCAGCTGTCCCGGTGCCCTGAGCCTCTTGTGCCGTAGTTCACATGGTTTCTGAATGAGCCGAAGTCCTATCTTCTTTGATGACTTGGCTGCCTCCAGTTCCACATGGCCCAAGCCTCAGCGCAATGCCTGCAAAATGTTATGAGAGCAATTCACTTATAGGATCAAGACAAACAAAATTTAATTTAGACTAATAGCTTCTTTTCATGTCACCATTTCAGAACAATGTTTCCACCAAACTAGACAAGGAGAAAACCGAAGAATTGCCACTCATTTGGCTGCATGAAAAAGTATAATCTGCTTGTAACACTGGACTGTGCTTGCCAGAGGCGAGTTACAGCATAATGCTGTGCTGTATTACCAATTTCATGTGATCGTTTAAAATCCTCTAAAACTGTAAAACTACGGCACCTGAAAAAAAGTATATGAAGTATACAACCACTACTATTTGCATTGACAGCTGCCACTAAATACTGTTTTGCCTGAACTAAAAAAAGTACAGTGGACTCACAATAAATCAAACTCTGATATTTCGTACTGCCAGTTAATTCAAACAAATTTAAAAATTTCATTTTTTCGCTATGTTTTAATGCATCTATAAGCTGTTTAATTCAAACAATGTTTGCGCTCCATTCACACTATTTGTCCATTGCGGAGGGTTAGCCCCGTTGAGTGCGCTTCTCATCGAGTACCTGTGTACTCCGGAAAAGCAATACACGCGAAGCTCGTGGTCAGTGCTTTGCCGCAGTATACGGGTGCTAGGTGAGAAGCATACTCGATGGGACTAACCCATCCCGATTATGGAAGGAGCACTGTCCTGACAATCTGCTTTCATTATTTGTGCTTAGATTTTTCTAAGGGGCATTAAATTCCAGATGAAAGAAAGAATATTTGCATATAGCAAGCAGATTTATAAATTCCTTCGATTAGGATAGCTGGGCGTTTCTTTGAGTTTAATTTTATGTGAAATCTGTCATTTACATGCCACCCCAATGTAGGCATTGGACTTACAGAGGCCACAGTTCATAGATGTAGTTCTATTAAAACAAACTGAGCTTAGAAGTGGACAAGGGGAAGGTTGGGAACAACCTTCACAAGTTAAGCTGAATTTTTGTTTAAGCACGGCACAACAGTAGTAAAAGGCTTTGAGAAACTATTCTATAATCAATTAGAAAATAATCGGCCAATATTAATATTTGCTTTAAGCCTCACCAATGTTTTATGTGTGCCCTTTTTTTAAATAGGCCTATGCAGAGTATAGTATAAAAAAACTGCTTGGTATATGTAGTTATTCTCATAGCGATTTCATACTTTGCCTCATATCACTTTTCCATAAATTTCCGATAATTCAAACTTCCCATATTTCAAATTAAAGTCTGTGGCTTCCAGGAGTTTGAGTTACTGAGAGTCAAGTGTATTAGAAAATATTTCCGGTCCTCCAAAAACCAAGAGCCTGAACATTGACTTCAAGCAACAGCTTTTCTAGCTGCCAAATAAATGACATGCCACACCAGAAGTGTAAAGCTTCCTTCAGTGACATGAATAGCAACCTTACACAAAGATGAGCACCAGTTCACTTATGCACAGGAGGCGGCTGTCGCCATGTAGGAAAGTAACACAACTCGCAAACTTCCCACCCCAAACTCCAGGATAGCCTAGGTCTGCTGAAAAGCCTCGTCCATCTATCTTGGAGTCCCCAAGTAGCAGCAATCAAGAAGTCAACTTCCCCTCAAGGCAGACTGCCCTCGAGCCCCTCCCAGTGGCCTTCGTTATACCAGAAGCCCAAGATGGATTACGTTAGTGAAGAGTCCTCTCGCTCGTTGCCTAGGAAAAGGTGAGGAGGAGCATCACCACTGGGAAGGTCTAGGGACCATTAACGCAGCACATCTCTATCTTCTGTTTTGGTTTGATCACAGTTACACTGCATTGGAAAACCATAAATGCCTGCAGAAGCAAGTCACTGGACTTTGGAAAAACAGCAGTGGACTGTTTTTCATTATTCCACACTGTTCATTGTTGGATTTGTTACACCAGAGACCGCTATTTCACTAGAAATGGCAGTTGGTGGCTGCACTGTCATTGCACAATTAATAAGAGCATAAGTCTCTGCCCCCCCCCCCCCACAATGGAAGTTTCTTGTAAAACTGGTGCTCTAATGCTGTGGTTCAAGAAAATGATGATGATGAAGATAAAAATTTAAATAACACTTGAATGTGATGGGTTTTAAAGCCGCAAGCCACATGGTCTTGAGCAGAGGTTGGCGACACCTTTTGTAGTAAAAGCACCTTCAAACAAAATATTGATAAACATTAGTTCTCTTTAAACAAAAGAGGAAACAATCACTTCATTCTGTAATTTTGGTTTGCTTCAACTTGCAATAATTTTGACATTGCCTTGAAGTTTCATTGTAAAAGAAATTTCTTATGATGAATGTACCGAAGACTGGGGCTCAGCTAAATTTAAATGGAGAGAAAAGTTCTTAATTAAGTGGCACACAACAGAACATATAGAGGGAGACTTTAAGAAACCCTTTCCATGGGTGCACTTCCACTTACAACCATCTCCAAAAGAAAAATATTTTGCTGGACCTTAGTGTCTTCTATTGAAGAGTACGGCTGGGCAATGAATAGAATAACCGACCAATTAATCAAATATTGCTTTAATCTGGAATATTCTGTTTATCCGGTCAACCGGTAAAACTTTGACGAACCAAAACAAAATCAAAATTAAATGCTTTTACCATAGATAAATGGCCGAGTACATGTATATGAAGGGCAAAGTTTAGGTGAAATTTTAACCTAAAATAAACTGTAACCTGGGCAAGATTTGTAACTCCAGACAAGGTGCAGGGGGTTACATGTGCTCTGGCCAGTTTAACATATATTGAGTGTCTGTTTAGAGCAGTGAGAACAATCAAAGGAAGCCACTCTTGCCGATGAAAATCAACAAACCTCTTTGCCTCATGCAACTCAAGTAACAATCTGCGAGTGTGTCCTCAAACTGTTGTCAACTATGTATTGAAGTTGATTCATAATCAATTTTGTATACTGTTTATCAAACATTCAGCAAAGGCAAACAAAAATATATATAATTTTGAGTATGCATGGAAAGGAATGAGAATGATTAATCTATTAATAATCGGTTAAAGGATGGCAATTATAATGAGGTTTAAATTTATAATCAATGCTCAGCCCTACAGTCCAGTCATTGTTGCTAGAAGCTGAAATGACCAAGCGATGACTGACAACAGTGGCACTGCCTTAGCAAGAAAACTTCAACTAGCGATAAAAGATAACGTTCAGAAGAGATTGCAGTGGCATGATGCCTGACTCGGCCTGATCATGGTTGAGAACTGCACACCTTGCTGCAGATGTGCTGCTTCTGGGATTGTTTATAGTCACCATTATGTTTGCCTGCTGAGTCATAGGACAAAGTTATTTGTCTGGTACAAAGGCCACCGGCCCAGATAATTGAGGCGCCAACAAGCATGGCTAGGCGATAGCAAAACATAAAGATGACTCAAATCGAGGTGCTCCTAAACAATGAGAAACAGGCAGAGTAGCATAGCAGTGGCCATGCACTCTTGTCCTCAAACCACCTCTTATTGCTACTTCAGCATCTCTTGTAGAAGCCCAGCAAGCAGTGGATTTCGGTCATTGCAGTGACATTTCAGCTTGCACTGTCCAGGACTCAGCACGACCCCCAACATACTCAAGGACAGAGATACAAAGAAGCAACCTACTAACCTCTGTGTAAATGTGATCAAAGAAACAGGGAATACCCTCGAGCTTAGAGCCTAGAGAATAGAAAAGCACCATACACAACATTAACTTGCTAAAAGAGAGGGACATCAAACCTGGTTCTAGGGAAAAAGATATAGGCTAAAAAAGTTCTTCCACTCACAGTCAAAACATAGGGAAGACTTATTCACCACAGTTACAAGCTTCAATTTTGTTACTGATTCTTTCAGTATAAATTTGTGGACATTCTCTTGGGTCAAAACTTTTTCAGGACAGATCCATAAAGGGTCACAATTATTCCCTCGAATGTTTTCACAGTTCCAAATACAGATCCGCTTTTATGCAATCTTTGCAACAAAATTCTGCAAGAAAAGCAACAAAAAAAAAAACCACTTGATTAAATGTAATATTTGTGCGCCCTTATGGGATCCTGTTGAAAGAGTTTTGACCAAAGGGAATGACTACAAGCATATACTGCAAGAATTAATAATAATAATAATAATAAAGCATAGAAATGCGTTGACTAAGCCCTTTCTGTGTTTCGACTCTGAGTGGAACAGGCGTACGGGACGTAGCCAGGGAGGGGGAGGGGTGCTTATGGGGCTTCAGCCCCACCCCGAAATCCAGCCGACCCTATAATATTATACACAAGCATTTTGACCCCTTACCCCTCTCCGAACCCCAAGTAATGGACATCCCAGCCACCCCCCCCCCCCCTAAAAAGAAAAAAAAAATCTTGGCTATGCCACTGCTTTTTGCCAGTATTTTTTCATTAGAAACAAGTTCGATGTCCATCCGTTTTTGGAAACTTGACCTTGTGTATGATGTTTTTGTACTTCCTAGGTTAAAAACTCAAGCTATTCTTCTTTAAACCACATTTACTCAGAGGTTCGTAGGTTGCTTCGTTTCGTTTGTTGTCTTGGGGACCTTCGGGGTTGCGTAAGTACAGTAGAATGCTGCAATATCCGGGAACGAATTCCCTTTATAGAGTGGTTGTAAGCAGGAAAATATTATTTGTAAAGAGTGCCTTTGTGTCTCCCTCTTCAGGGTTGCCTATTTATTTTAGCCCATTGTTTTAGACTTCAGTGTTTGCATCATCCTTCATGAATCCCTACTACTGTATTGGGTAATTTACCTTGTTTAACCTGTGCCAGCTTGCACCTCGGTTTTGTTCTTTAAAGAGACACTAACACGCCCTAAAAATGTGCATATTTTTTTCATTTTTTTGCCAGGCGATTTAATTTGTGTCGAGAGACTAGTCAGGAAATATTTTACTACACAGCCACATATATATTTAATAAAGCCAAAAAAAATCTGCAGTTCGAAACCGAAAAGACGACGATGACGAATTTGCGTGCACCGTTTGTTGTGCGATTATTTCGCACGCCAAACGCTCGATGTCTGCGCTTGAAGATCAATTGGCTGGTATCACAAATGACCGTTCCGAAGTAAAGCCCCCTCATCTGTCGCACCGTTGGTGCATCATGCATCACCATCGTATCGTCCAGCCCGCAGTACGTCGCTGTATTGAATATGATATGTATAAAGACTTCCTGTGATCTGTGCAGGATTTTTTTTCCTTCAGCATTTTTGCTGGCTTTTGGAGACCACAAAAATGGGGTTCATATTCTTCTTTTTTTTAATGTTGCGTGTGTGCCTTAGATGATGCAAAACTTTGAATACATTTGGTACATACAGTTTAAACCCCAGATAACCATGAAAAAGAGAGTGAATGCGATAGCAAGCAACCAATTCAAGAATGGCTGTTTTGAGCAGAAACAAACAAATTTGGATCCGCAAGTAATGTTCTGGGTAGTTGGAATATCGTAGGTCATGTTCAAACAAAAACCTCGACAAGCATAAACACCCTATCAATGTCCCTTTAATATACTGTATGAGTTACATTTCTAGACACAAGCATAAATAATGTTTGTGATTAAATTGCAAGCACACAGTTAATTCATAGGAATGATTGAGAGCATACTTTTGTTCACTAGTGCTGATACTGACTAAATGATAAACCATCATTTAAGACAAAAACAAAAAACGGTGCAAAGGACAGAAGAGAACAGATGCATAAAACACAGTGCTACGGTGTGTTCACCTCCACCTCTTTTTCCATATTTCCATTCTTTGTTTCTAACCCATTTGTTAATAATTTTTTGTTTGGGATTATTTGTGCTAGGGGTTCACTGTAATGACCCACCTGCCATGGCATTCACTTTAGGCGCAGTTCTCCCTTCAAGGCACCACCCTCGAAGAAGTGCTGGGTGGGCGTCCCTTTCACTCTTGTGATGCAGTTCCTCAGGTTCCCATAGGTTGCAAGCTGCCAGACAAACCAGCTGAGTCAGGAAAACCAGTCCTGCAGCAGCAAATTTCACTTTAACACTTTTAGACGTAAACTTAGAAGAAGACAAGACTTAGAACACTTAGAAGAAGACAAGACAAACAGCAAAGCAAGTGGCTTGCCCTTCTTAAATGCCTTCTTTCATTTCACTGGGAACATATGTATCGGTCACACACTAGTGTACATCCAGTGGTATGGCTTAATTTTAAGATAAGCACTCTCTTGTATAACTCCAAACTTATCTAGAAAACAATGAATATAATGGGTCAGACATAAAAAGTTGTTATGAAATAACCTGTATGTTTAATCAACATTTCCTGATATTATACACAAACAGTAATGCAGGGTGGGACTGTGCATTAATTAGAAACTTGCAACCGATTAACAGTTGACATTTATTTAAATAATTGATCAGTCAATGAGTGACTTGGAGGTTAATGAAATTGTTAGCATAATTTGAAATTGTGAATATTACAAAATACCGTTGGAGAATGTAATTGCTGGGATTCCCATATGGAGGAACAAAATGTAATAATGAAGCAATTTCTATTTAGTGGTGTGTTTGGCACACAATCAAAGGTCATGGGTTGATGTGGCAGAAGCTGACATAAATGCCAGCTACTAGGTATTATTGAAGTAATTAAAAAGTGAGATTTGGAATGCAATGCAAATAAGGCATTATCCTCCAACAGGAAGCACAACAGCAAATATGGTATAGCCCTTAGACAAGGATGCTGTACAAAGTTACTCCATGTAATGGCCCACAAGCTCCCTAAATTAATCAAAACAAATAATAGTTCTTGCTGACATAATAGGGCAACCTTCCATCAATACAAGTGACGTCAAGGCAACTGTTATTGCATGACTGCCATGAAGCACGAACATCCACACAGTAGTCAATTTATGCTGTCATTTCATTCAACTCACGTTACGATGCTTGCTAATCATGTCAGCTTCAGCCTGGTGAGGGTGGCACCTAGCACAAGAATTCAGACTTCACTGTGGTTTATATCATGAAGAGAGACACACCATATAATAAGTAAAACACCCTAACAACTAGAACTTTTAACAAGGAGGAGGGTGCAATAGCTTATTGTACAGAATGTCCCTGAAAAAATCGAACCCTGGTTTTCGCACCGCAAAAATAAACTAGACTTCGGAGAAAGCTCAAACTTTGTTGGAACATAGCCGCAGCCGTTCAAGCGAGATGCTTAAGTTTTAATGCATATCATTACCAGAATAAAAAGTTAGAAGTGGAAAACTGTTTTTGACTATGAGAGGACGCCGTCCCTGAGAAGCAGCAGACAGAATGCCGCTGTTTGTGACAGCATCTCACAGATGGTGCCTCCATCTGCCAAAAGTCAGAGCCATAGATAGGGGAGAGTTTGGCCATCCATTGTCCTCGGTGAACCCAGGCGGACCCTTGACTCCTCCCACCGGCATTGACGTTGGCCCTAGCAACCGCGTGGCAACGACGAACCCGCTGCAATCGACACGTTCCCGACCACCATTTTTGTTCTTATTCCCCGTACATGTGCATAGGCTACCCTGGAGGTTTACCGGCTCCTTGATTTTCTGAGCTTTTATTTTCAAAGACGAAAATGATTTGTTGCTGCGCCGTCGGGTGCTCTAACAGCAGCCATGACGGCTTTCGGTTGTTTATTATTCCGAAAGAAAAAAATGAGGGAAACTCTGGCTAATAAAAATAAAGCGCGACACGTGGACGCCAACGGCTGGTTCCCGACTTTGTGAGGTAAGAATCTTTTCATTTATTCCAAAAACTTTCCACTATGGAAATGATCACCCGTGCCTTGCGTGATCGCATCTACAGCTACAATCACGGATGGTATGGATTTATAAATTACTGTAAATAGCATTGATCTGGTCATATATGCAGTTCAAACTTTGGCTCAACTCAAGAAAGTGAGACATAATTATAGTTCGTTGCAATCAAGATAAGCATGTGCGATCACTAAAGCTACAATCCTTGTTTGTTGCATAAAGATATACGAGCACATGGAATTTAAATGAAACAAAACAAAATGGCAAAGTTATTTTAATTATGCGCATTTCTCATGTTCACTATCTGCAACTTCTAAGGGGCCCTGGTTATGACAGCCCTGTTTAAACTAGTGACTGCTAAGTAAATTGAAAGTTATAAGTTGTCCTGGATTTAATGTACATGATGCAACTAAGCGTGCAAATGTTAATTATAGGGCATTGTTAGGTAAAATATATTATATTTTTCTAGGCAATTTGAAGAATCCCAGTTTGAGCGAAATTGCGCAGGTGGTTGGAAGAAGCTGAAACAGACTGCCATTCCAACAGTGTTTGCACATTCTAATTGCAAGAGAAGGAAATCACCAATGATGCGAAATGCTCCATTACCAAAGGTAAGTATGCCACATAACGGGTGTATTTTTTGTTATTCGTTCACATGTACTCCAGGGAAAATAAAAAAGAAGAGTGACATTAGGACACTTTTAGTTTTCCCATTTGCTTTCCCTGGTTGAGGGACTCCAAGAACAAAATTGTTTGTGCAGTTAGGCGGCTAGGTGCAGTTAGGCGAAGCAGCTCAGTGGCTTGCTCCGCAAAGACGTTGTGCAGGCTTGTACAGCGTCCCAATAGACCTTTTTCTAAATTTCTCAAGCACCGAGTGTAGTTACAGGTATTGCACGTGCTAGCGTGTGCAGTAGTAATTGTTCTAAATCAAAAAGTCCAAAACAAATTTTGCCTCGCACACACGTTCGTCAAAGCCTTATTATGATTATTTACTACGAATCTTTTATAAGAGAAAGGCCAGCGCGCGCCGACCGTAGAATCGCACTTCCAGCGTTGTTCTCGATGCTTGGGTAGTTTAAAAAAAGGTCTAATGGGACGCCGTCAGCTTTTGTGTGCTATCAATACCTGGCCCATTGAGTCAAGGCAATCCGCTTTCCAAAGACGTTGCCATGCCGACAATTATCGCGTTCATTTAGGCTTAGTAATGGCCAGAATCAAAAGACTATAAAAAAGATGGGGCAAGGTCATTGCTCATGCTTTGCGATTTAAGTGAGGTAAGGCAAAGCGAAAGCCTCCTGCACCATTCGTTGCTGACTAACGCGCCCGATATTACAGCTACAACGACATATTAGTTCCAAAGCGAGCGGCACTCACTCACCGGGGCACCGCCACGTTTCCCCGCATCCCTACCGAGCCAGTCACGTGATATAATAATCCCTCTCCTAGGTACTGCGGCTAACTTTAGCAGCTGTTAGCGCTTCAAGCAAACGGGCCCAGACTATGTTGCTCACGCGTTAATTGCAGCCTAAGGAACGCTAGTTGGTAACAAAATAAAAATGAACATAAACAATTAATGCAAGTGCATGTAAACGACAGTTGACGTTCGCGAGGACAGAAGCAGATAATGTCTGCTTCGGTATTTATCAAAATGCCTTTTCACAGAAAAAAAAAATTCATGTGACTACAATTTTAGGTTTAATTAGTTTTATTTCCTTCTATAAAGAACCGACAAAGTTGGGGACAAGGATACAATACTTTTGTCAGGTACTGTAACTTTGCTGCCAGTCGCTCGGGTTAGACCATTGAGGGAGCGCTGGAAGCCTCGAGGGCAAGTGGCGCCATCTGCACAACCTACTCGGCAACGGCACATGAAGATCCGGCATGGAACAAATCAATTTACGACTGCATCTCAAAAGACATTGGCTCAACCTTCCAAAATGAACCGATAATGATTGTGGGTGACTTTAACTGCCACATATTAAAACTGGATGGTAGGGAAAGCAAAGCAGCAGAACTCAGGAAACTAGTAAAAAACACAGCATAAAGGGGGGGGGGGTGCAACGATTTCCGGACTTCGGTCAAAAATTTGTGGAAGTTGCCCTGTGACACTTCTGAAGTAACAAACATAAAACCGATTTCTCCTGCGTGTGCTAGTTGTTGCATACAAAAAGATAAATATTGGCATTTCGGGCACCCCTCAACTCACTCCCAGTCTTCAGGGTCACACCCGGTCCCCCTCCTAGTGACATCCTTCGGAGTGCCGTGTGGGTTCCCGTGTGCTGTCTCGGAGGACACTTCCTCTCCCTCTCTCTGCTGACATTAGCGGGCGTTAGGCTGCAGCTTAGAGCCGAGCGAAGTCACGTAATCTTCTAGCCGTAGTTCCTCCGGCTGCCACTTGCGGCTGCAAGTGGGGGAAAAAGCTCGGCTTTTGCTTTGCAATTATGCAGCGGAATCGCGACATTTTGAAGGAAGGAAATGGTTTCTCTATCCTCCGGGGCACGATAAACAACGTAAAAATGAGGAGATGCAAATTCTTTTACCCATAAAATTGTTGAACCTGCCCCTTTAACTATAGTTAACCTGGAGCCACAATGCAAGGGAAAAACAACCCGGAGCCGCAACAACCAAAAATCAACAATTGACAATATCCTCCCTATTGAAAATTATTTTTTTACCAGAATGTCATTTCCAGTAAAAGTCTATTTTACTGGATTATGGGACTGTTTTCACTTCCAGTAAAGCCGTAGTTTACCGGAATGTCGACGGATTTGTTATTGGAATGTCATCGGTTGTTTTACAGGAATGTTACCGGATGTTTACCGGAATTTCACCAAATATTTTACCAGAATGTAACCAAAATTTTACCGGGAGTCTATTTCCAGTAAACGTCTATTTTACTGGATTATGGGACTCTTTTCACTTCCAGTAAAGCCATAATTTACCAGAACATCACCAGATTGGCCGGAGTTTACCGGGTTTTTTTTCTGTTTTCGGACGTCAACCGAAGGCACTTAGGAGGAAGCCTGTGAACAGTGTTTGGTTATGTTTACCAGATGCTGGACGATTCGATAACAATTAAAGTGCTTAGTTCATATAGACTTGAAGGTTCTATGTATTTATTTAACACGGTCCATACCAGTAAAACAATTTGCACAGCTGTAGACAAAATCAATCAGACCAAATAGGAACAACCATGCAAGTTCTTTGCCGCAAAAGATATCTTTCAAGGAAACTCACAATGCCGCTGGGTAAAGTCGTAGGCGCACGGTAGTTCAACATATAAAACCGCGCAGGTTCACCACATGGACACACACAGGTATACTGTCAGCAGCACGCTTAGCGAAAACCACGATCGGGCGGAACAAACATCCGCCGCCGTTGAGAAATCCCGGGCACACTCACGATGTCGTCCCTGATGCCGTCCCCGTGGGTGCACCAGGCGTCAGTAGCACGGTTAGCGAAAACCACGAACCCGCGAAACGAACATCCGCCAACGTTGAGAAATCTTGGGCACAGTCTTTTTCGCTCGCTGGATGCTTCTGAAGACGGACGGACAAAGAGGCGTAAGAAACAGGTCACAACACATGGAACGCGGAGCCGAGAGTGAGCGTTCCTTTCTGACCGGCCGTTGCTCGTTGACGGACAAAGAAACCGGTTGTCTTCAAAGAAAAAATAAAAATAAAATAAGTCAGCAGAACGACCCTCTTGCATTTTCCCCACGAACCCAATGCGAGGGAGAGAGGGTGCGTGGGGACTCGTCCTTGGCGCGAGGCACCATATGTATACACCCAGTCGCCGGCTCGTCGCGGCTTCCCCCTCCCCTCGCGTCGGCTTTGAGTGGAGGTCGGTAAACAGGGAAGCGAGTCACCCGTTTCGGGTAAGATTTCTAGGAAAACCGGGTCGTCTGCATGGTATACGAAAGGGGCTGCCGGTGGCATTCCAGTGAAATGTGTTTGCCGGCCAATAATCTACCAAAGACTGGTAAACTGGTTTCGAATGAAAAGGGGTGAAAGTGCCCTCCTTTTTGGATCGTCAAAACAGTTCGCTGCACGCACTTCTTGCAGAATTGCAACGTCGTTTCGAGCTAAAACACGCACTCACGAGAATGCCGCTGCGTTGCCGGCCGCCATTACAAACACAGTTCCCCTGCTCTTCTTGGCTTCCTTGACTTTGGCAGTTCCC